CCCGCCCACTGCCCCGGCCATGGCTGCCCGCCCCGCCGCCCCCGGGCCGCCAGCCCTCTCGGCCCCGCAAGCCCCGCAACCCCGGCTGTGGCAGCAGTGAACGGCTCTCGCAGGCCCCGAAGACCCCGGCCGGGCTCGGCTCTCTAGCGCGCGCCCCCTTCCCGGCCTTGTCCTCTCCCTTCCCCCAGCCGCCCGAGAGTCCCCCTTGCACGCCGCCCCCCGCCCCCCGGCGCCCGGACGATGCTCAAGTCTCGGCTCCGCATGTTCCTGAACGAGCTGAAGCTGCTGGTGCTGACGGGCGGGGGGCGGCCCCGGGCCGAGCCGCAGCCCCGGGGTGGCGGGGGAGGCGGCTGCGGCTGGGCGCCCTTCGCCGGCTGCTCGACCCGGGACGGCGACGGAGACGAAGAGGAGTACTACGGGTCCCAGCCGAGGGCCCGGGGCCTGGCCGGCGACAAGGAGCCGCGGGCCGGACCCCCGCCGCCGCCCGCGCCGCCGCCGCCGCCACCGGGCGCGCTGGACACCCTGTCGCTCAGCAGCAGCCTGGACAGCGGGCTCCGAACCCCCCAGTGCCGAATCTGCTTCCAGGGCCCGGAGCAGGTAAGGCCCAGCCATCCGGCGGCGCGGGGAGGGGTGGGGCGCGCACCTGGGGCGCCCGGGAGACCGGGAACAGGGGGCGGGGCCTGAGGAAGCTGGGCGGGACCCAGCGCCCGGGGTGGAAATGGAGTGAGGTTGGGGGGCTTGGCTGGAGACTCCGGGAGCGCAGATTTGGCGTGGAGGGGGATCAGGGGTCGCCAGGAAGGGGTGGGGCTTTCTCCTGGGAGGGCTCAAAATCTCTCCCCTTAACCGAGACACCCTTTCTCGCCCACTTCTCTCACCCCAGGGTCTCTGTAGGCTGAGAGGGCCTATCCTCTGGGAGGTGGGCAGAGAGAATGCTTCTTGAAGGGAGGGGCCCAGCCGGTGCCCTTGCCTTCCTCGATAGTTCTCTACGTGGGGCACTTTTCTTCACTTCCCATTCCACAACTTTCCTTCTCATTCCAAAGAATATCCTCTGTTTAAATGTTATGGACAAAGTTGTCCCGGGATAGTATGGGGGGGGGTTCTCTATGTCGTGAGGAATTACTCTTTGATTAAAGCGGAACACCCTCCACTCACACCCTTAGGATTTCCCGCTTTTTGATACGTGGAAACTGAGGACTGTAACCTATCCCAGTCTGCACCACATCTGTGAAATACTTTACAGTGATGGGGAGTGGGTTAGGAAGGCATGGCTTAGAAGCTCTGACCCTGCCCTCCTGTCTCTCCAGATCCTAAGTGGTAGCCTTCCATTTGGGAACCCTTAAAGAGCACCCTCCTCAAACTCTGGAAACAGGGGAGACCCAGTATTCACCGGCCAACCCTCCCCCGCCCCCCCAGTCCCTTTCCACGTCTCTTCTATTGGGCCAGGGAAGTTTACCTTGAGCTCTAATTTTTTTCTTTTAGGCTGCAGCCTTAGCTTATTGCCCTGTTTTGGGTGAAAAGCCTGATTTTTTTTTTTTTTTTTTTTTTT